ACTCGACCACCATTATGGTTACCGCCAAAAAAAAAACAGAGGTAAAAAAAAACGGTAACCCGGTTGCCGAGTTCACGAATTGAATTGGCGTGTTTTACAACGTCGTTGCCAAGCGACGAAAACCCAACCCCGATGGCAAACACCGGGGGGAAATACCGGGGCAGGGGGGGGACGGGGTAATACCGGCTACAATATAATTGCGCGATATCCAACAACAACAACAACAACAAACCAACAACGATCGAAGTACCGTTCCACGACCTCCCTCCGTTCGCGGCACACGCGCCTGAGAGCTAGCGATTGAACCCGGCGATAGCGGCGGCGGCGACGCTGGCACACACCTGCAGATGGTCACGGAAGCGAGCTGCAGCTGCTTCATCCTCCTGGGGGGTATCCAGCCGGAAAGCACCACCACCCGAAGGCCCTTCTGCAGACTCGTCAGCCGCTGCTGTGCCCCCTCCCCCGTCGATTCCGCCGCACTTCCTGCTCCCGTCGGCGCCGCTTTCGATTGGTCAATCATCATCGTGGGGTTTTCCTCTCCTGTCGATGTTGGCGTTTTCGCGCGTTGTGGTCGGGGGAGTGTTGGGCGCGCGCAAAAAAAAAAAAAAACGTCGGGGGGGACTCGATCTAGGGGATTGTTGACTGAGCCGGTGTACGGTACATGCACGTGGTACGGCACGACACTAAGAGGTAGGATCTATCGTATGCGACGTACGTTAGATACCACACCCCGCGGATCGATTTTTTTTTTACTTCGATCACTCCACAGCAGCGGTGGTATCGAAATGGCGGCGTTGGAACAGTCTCATCCAGACCCTACCGAAAACGCATCATTTGATCGTGGGGCAATCGAGCTTTGCACGTCGGTCTAGGGAGTGTGCCATCTCATGTCACCTACGGTACTACGGTACCACGGAATTACGATACGGATCTACGGAATTGGTGGAATGTGCCATGGTTATTGCCACATGTGTCAACCACTTGCGGGGTGATGACGACGATGAA